TGAGTGCTACTGTGCTCAACCCACTTGTTCAGGAGATATATATCATACAGGCATATACATGTGCAGAATTGACCATTTCAAGGCCCACAACATCCTAACTTTTGGGATGCGAGGCACGCGGGGCAGGTTGGGAGGTCGGGGTGCCGGGGCTTGTTAAAGAGGATTTTGAATGGGGAAGTTCTGAGTCAAGTAGTACTACTGCACGCAAGACAGTTTTTGAATGTTTTTGCATTGTTTTGCATTGTTTTCCCTTTGCTTCAAGTATCAGAGTTGTGGCATTCATAAGTGGGTGCAAACCTTGTCTTGCCAAGTTGAGTCAGCTGAAAGTGGGCCCACAGAAGGATAGCAACGTACTTTTTTGCATTTCGGTGTCATGCTGCTTTTGCCCTCGTGGCCATAGCCATCCTCATCTTGAAAGCAGCTTGCCTGGGCTGTTATCCCCTTGTCACTCCTCCTGTCCTGGCAGTGGCAGCTGTGCAATCCGATCAGCCCCGGGGATACAGTATCACAAATTGATCGTGCAAACTGAAAGCCGAGCACAGAAAGAGGTCGCTCGGCGGAGCAGTCTATCGATGCACAAAAAGTGCCGGGGGAGTTACTCCAGCATTACCTGCCTTGCCACCTTTGCAACGCGACAATGTATCACCTTTTATATTTGAGCACTCACGACAACAGTAGCCTTTACCCAGCAAATCTGGTGTATGTAGAACATGCAATGGTGTTGGGACTAGAACATATTGTAGCCTGAGCAATGACACATCACCCTCAGGGCAAGTTGTGCTTGGTTGCAACATGCAAGGGAACAAAGTGAACTCGCACAGCCGGTTCTGCGTTTCCAGCTACACTCCTGGAAGTGATGCGAGACAGACAGACGAAATCATCCTTGCCAGTCATGCTTTTTGCCATGCTTGGTTCGCATGGACCGGGCTGCAGATGGAGGTTGAGATTGAATGTATTGAATGTATTGCTTCAAAAGTGCGTTGAAGCAGAGCAGACAGTGTTTCACTATTACTGTATGACTCATGACTGATATGTTATATAGCTATGACATGCCCTGACCCTGCACTAAGGGAATGGAATGTACTGTAAGCAATGCTTGCCTCCGCCGCTTTCAGGATTGAAGCCGTCAATCCGGAAACTTATTGGAGTTGGGGTTACACTCACTTGACAGTGGCAAGCACGATTGATAAACGCTTCCACGACTGGCGGAGACGCTCATGCAGTACTCAATATGGTTGGCTTGTTGAAGACTGGGCTACTTAGACTACTTATATAGACTACTTGTATGTTTGGTGAGGTGCAAGACCCGCTCGGTGGAGGGTGACTAGCGAGAGCGCCAGACGCCTCACATCTCCAGTTATATACAGTAACGAGAACAGCCCAGAACGGCCCTAACAAAGGCGTTCTTGGCCTTTCAGTAGCGGCGTCGGGTATAGTGTATAAAGTGTATAATATATATAGATATAGATACAGGGACCCGAGGGCAGTCACAAAAGCATTCACTCGCAGGAATCATTCTGTAATTGTTTCTCTCCTTGCCTCGCCATGTGCCATGGGGCCTGAGAGTAGCCCGCAGGGCCTCACTGAAGACAATGCCTCCCTGGAGGTCCGACGTTTCCTGCGTACAGCGCAGAATGGACTGCAGTGCCACCGGTCCGAGCTTAGCGTAGCGTGTGGTGCAAAAAAACAAGGCCACACGATTGTGTTCTGTATCTGCGAATGGCATCCATACTCAGAACAACCTTTCCAGTCCAACAGACCGACTGGAAATTCTGGAAATCCAGAGTGGCCTTTACAGTACCTCTTCACTATGTTGATACTTGTGCCGTTAAATTACTCCCGTCACTTGACTTTGAAGCTGGCTGATCAGTTTGAGCTGACCATGGGTGCTGTTTGTTAGCCAAATGTTCTTCTCGACATGGACATTGGAGAATATCGTCGATAGACAATTGCTTGTTCGCTGAACCTGAGCTTGTTGGATGCAGACTGAAGCCAAGACAAGCCCATAAGACCCATAACCACCTGGCAACTCCTTGCCAACGCAACCAAGCAGATGTTTTTTGATTGTATAGTCTTCAGTCGGTCTCAGGTATGATTTGGCTCCCATCTCATGCTTGCTTCCTTGATGGGCAGCTTCGCCTCTCGCCTTGGAGCTGAGACCCACAAAAGGCGGTGTCACCTTGTTCGAGAAAGTGGCATACTCTTTGGTTTCTCCTTCTTGAAGGACCTCTAGACTCTACAGTAGACCCTCATTCTTCTTCATTTGTTTTCTCCTGAACGCGTAGCGAAGGGTTCTCATCTCACTTAACTCCTTCGGGGTCTGGTTGTAGAGCGACCTTGCTTTCATGCTCGCAACCGCCCGCCACCATCCACAAGCGTCGGGGGAAGCTTTTGGAGGAGGTCTTGGATGGAAGCATGCCGCGTCAGATTTGCGTGAAATAGTAAACCCCGCAAACACAACATGCTCAATTGTCAAACATGATTTTTGCTGCGCTGGAGACATTGAATGTCGCTGTCCATTGGGATTTGCTGTTGAAGCGCTTGCCTCGAAGCCCTGATTCCTTGACACTTCTCAGGCAAAGTGTTAATTTTGAGGGAGATACGTGGTGTGGAGCAAATTTTGCTGGACATGTGGAGGCGTGAGGTAGCCAGTGCCCGTGGCAGGTGCAGCACTTTGTGCGTCTTGGGTTGTAAACCTGCTGGGCAGGGCTGCGTGATGAGCTCGCTCTGACAAGACTTCCCCCCTTCAGAAGTCTCGAGCGAAATGCTCGTTTTGAAGGCTTGGTGCCAGGAGTGTCCTAGAAGTGTCCGACAAGAATGTCCCACCGGATCCCGCCGGAGCGTCTTACAAGAATGTGCCACAAGAGCGGTGTACAGGAGTTGCCCACAACAATTTTCCAACAAGAGTGTCCCACAAAAATGTTCCACAAGAGTGTCCTGCAAGAGGGTCCGGCAGCAGAGTGTCCCGGAAGAATGCCCCCCCTAACAAGAGCGTCCTACAAGAGTGTCCCACAACAATGTCCGACAAACATGTCCGACAAGAGTGTCCCATGATGGTGTCCCACAAAAGTGTCCTACAAGAGTGTCCCACAAGAGTGTCCTACAAGGTCCTACAAGAGCGGTATTTTGGGGCGAGTGTCGCGCAAGACTGTCAAGCAAAATTGAAGCATGCACAAACGTGTCCTTTAAGAGTGTTTCTGAACAGTGTCGAGCAGGAATGTCAAACAACGTTTGGCTGTTGATAATTGTGTACGTGTGTGTGCATTTGGGTTCCTGGGTCCCATCTTGTTGTACCCCCTTTTCTGTGTAGATGTGCAACCCTTTCTTTTCTGTGTGTGTAGATCAGATGTTTGGCTCAAGCTGCTTCGGGTCCCTGCTTTCAGCCTCAGTCCCTTGCTGGCATGGGCTCGCTGAAAGAGCAGATTGAGGCAAAGACGAACGAGATAAGGATGTTGGGCACCGAACTTGAAAGCGAGATATCCAGAGGTATGCCATTTCGCGACGACATGGACAAAGCTGCACAGGAGTTTGATCCTGAAGACCAGGCCGAGATCCTGCGCCTTGCCAAGAAGCCGGAGGAGTTAGTGAAAGTGATGTCCTGTGTGGTCTTTGTGCTCTACGACTTGAAGAGTCACGATAGCATGGCTTGGGTCTCGAAGGCCCTGAGTCCCAATTTCATCTTTGATCTAAGAAACTTTGATCCTGATTCCTTGAGTGAAGAGAGACTTCAACGATTGGATGAGCACTGCATTGATCCGTCGATGACCCTGGACAAGATGGACTCGTGGCGTGTCCCAAAAATTACCAAGGCCGTCAATCGCTGGCTGTCAGCACTGCGAGGCTACGCTAAAATTGCAGCAGACGTCAAACCCAGAATGCAACAGTTGCTTCGAGTCTATCAGTCCTGTTTGGTTTAATTTGTTTTACACCCCTCGGGCCAGATACTGGAAGAATAAATAAACGGCAAGTAGCAAGCAAGAGTTTTTTTTAATTTGTGGCCGACAACTTGAGCTGTTCTTCAAACGGCCTTGGTGGCCATTCTCCAAGCCCAGGTTTGAGAGGCTACAGCAGGATCTGCATGATTTGATGAACCTGGAGGTTGGCTGAGAGACTGTTGCCTTTGGCAATCGGGACCACTCTGCAGGTCTTGGAGGGCAGATGAAATGAGATGACAGTTCATGGCCATGATGACTGTCGGCGCCGCGCGGCACCTGGTAGGTCAAAAACTCAGCAGGTCGACCCTTGCTGACCTAAACTTGGGCCAGTGCCAGAACCAAGCAAGCCGCCACATGCGATCAAGAAGAGGGCGGGCCTTTCCTTCCCTTTTGATCATTGTTTTTTTTTGGTCTCCTTCAGTGACCGCGGTGTGTACTCGGCTTGGGGCTGCCCTCCCGACAGCTTTGGAAAGGACTTCAAGGAAATTTTGGTACATTACCTCTAGCTGAGAAATGTTGACCTTCGCTCAGTTTTCGAGCAACAAGATCAGACCATAAGACTAACATATCTAGGGACAAGTGTTTCACAAACCCATCTAGAATTTGGCATGCAAGTTCACTCACGTTCACTGGCCGCCATGGGTTGCCAATCCAAGCTCCTGTAAGTAGCGTAATTACACAGGATGATATGACATACAACGTGCGAGACGTACCCAATCTCCTCACCAATATTGAATATTGCAAGCATTTTTCCCAATTTAGCTTGTGTTCGGTTCAGCTTGGGAAAGGGACAACTTCAGTTGACGAGGGATCAAGGTAATATACGGCACTTTGTGTGGAAAGACCTTGATAATAGACAAAACTAATCAGGTGGGAGGGAAGATATGACGTAGCAGGTTGTCAACATGAAAGGGCAAAGCAGATGATAGAAGCGAGCTGAGAAAGAGAAAAGTAGATCCTGGGGAGGACGGGGGTGAGCCGCATCATTTACCATCGAAGTATTACAGAATATATATATATACATGTTTTTCAATTGACCCTGGACAACTTGAATAAGGCCTGACCATGGACCAGCTGGAGCTCCGTGTTTATGGTGCTGGTATTCGGCCCCTGCTTGTGCAACTGGGATACCTCAGGCAATCAGCCGATGGGGCAACGGGAGAAAGTGATGCGGCAAATCAATCCAAATCATTTGCAACGGCAGGAGCCGAACTGGGCCTTTTCAGTGTTGTAGTTTTAGATTGTTTCAGTTTGATCTTTTGCAGGTCAGTGTCATTGGCGTCCAAGGGGCACCTTCCAAAGCCTGAGGGCCTTAGCGACAGTTGGGCTGATTTTGCAGTGCTGCTGCAGTTCTTCGAATGCGAGGCCTGCGGCACCAGGTGGAGAATGGCTGCAAACATGCCAATCTCACATATATATATATATATATTCCTTTTCGTTCTTTTCTTCGTGACTAATTTGGCCTGGATTTAGTTTGTCCCTATAAATCCGTATTCTTAAAAAAACTTGGGGGCTACATTGGGTCAACAAATCATGATGACCATTTGGTCTAGAAGCTAAGGGCAAAAGCTTTGCAAGGAGAAGGTTCACTACCTATTTGCACCTTTCGGACTGTTTGCTCCGTCCTGGTGCTCGTCGCAACAAAACTCTGGCCGCGCAGGACTCGGGGGACATGGACTTGCGAACTGAATGCGTGCTTCTAAGCGGCGACGTGGACGCTCGGACTGCACGATCCGGGCCGAGGGCAGCTGTGAATGTCCGGTATTGGTTTAGTTTTGGCTCATCGCTATTGGGTTGGAGGCCATCGCTAGGTTGGAGGCTTTTCTGTCCCACAGGGGTGCCAATGCACCAAGGAGGCACGACTCTTGTGCCGCTCTTTGCAGCAGCTGCAGAAGTTCGGTGTCCCCTTCGAGCCCAAGGAGGAGTTGCCAGAGTGGGCTGGACACTGAGGGTTCAGTGTCCTAAGTGTCCTATGTGTCCCTTGGTTGACTGACGATCGAAACATCCTTTCTTGAACAACTCCGAATGTAAATGGGATAACTAATAGGCATGTTCAGTCGGAGTGACCTTATGGACCCACTTGGTCGGCGGTGTGTTTCTTTGTCTCAGGTCGCATTGCGAGCCAGAGCTGCCTATGCAGCGCTTAGCTCTGAGGATGTGGCCTTGGCCTTGAAAAAGTGGCTGCTTGGCCTGAAACGAATCAGATCCTGGACATGCTGGAGTTTGAAGTGACTCTCAGTGAAGCCGTTGGCATTTTCCACGGCGTGTATGTATCAAATCCCTCAGACTGAGGCGGGAAACTTCCACACCAGTCGAAGTGGGCAGCTGTGCAGGATTGCCGTGCACTGGTATAGAACATCCTGACCTGGGTTTGCAGATTGTCAATCTGTTTTCTTCTGCATGGGCTGATGTGGCGCTCGTATCACGAGATGTACTTGGATAGAGTCGGATAGAGCGTGATAGAGCCACCGGCAAAGTCTGTCCCTGATTCTCCAGTGAAGACATCCTCCCGTGGATCTTGTCAGGACTGTCCCTCAGATCGCTTGTGGAGGATGCTACGCAAGCCTTGTGGGAAGCTTTCTACTCCCCGGCTGTGTGGGATTCCCAATGTGTGGCAGGAGCCGTAGTGAAGGGGGGGCTGACAGCTGAGCTGAAACTAACCAAGCTGCCACCAACTCCAGGAAAGGGCACTCTGTGGAGTGTAGAGAAGCCTTTGCTTTGATTTGACGGTAGTGATGAAGCCCAGGCTGGGGCGGAAACCAGATCCTACTTTAGCTGCAGGCTGGTGTGTGGCATGGGGTCGCGAGTATGTTTCTTTGGCGTTTCATAGCTTGATAGGCTCAAACCCGGCCATGAATTTGAAACCAAGACATGTCAAGGCAAATGACCACTTCCAACACCTCCACGTTGACCAGTCTCGAATGATACTGCTACTACTTCTACAGATGTGGCCACGCTTCAAGCCAAGTCAAGTGCAAGCAAAGTCTTATATAGACTATGACTATTCAATCTAGGAACCAAATGTCAGCTGTGCCTCTTTGTGTTTAAATTATGATTATTTATGAAGTTTACTTAAAATTCTAGTAACCAAATGATTAGCGTGAGCTATCCTGCGTCCAGTTGCTAGAAGCTAACAAATCGCCCTTACTTTAAGTAGGAGCCTACTTAATTAAGTAGGAGAAGGCTAAAAACAACAACAACAACAACACCAACAGCAGCAGCAGCAGCAACAACAACAACAACAGCAGCAGCAGCAACAGCAACAACAACAACAGCAGCAGCAGCAACAACAACAACAACAGCAGCAGCAACAACAACAACAACAGCAACAGCAACAACAACAACA